CAGGAATGCAGGTGGCCTCTAGACTCTCCCTGGAGCCTCCAGAAAGAACCAGCACCGGCCTCTAGAACCAAGAGGTAGCACCCTGTCTTTTCTTGAGCACTGAGCCTGGCTGTTGGCCACGCATCCGCAGGAAACCCGCCAGGGCCGTCTCCGGTCCTGTCCACTGCCTGGTGTTCCTCCCCTTCTCCTGGCAGAAGCTCCTGGACCTTCCTTTGCCCCCTCCCCTCTCAGTGCTGGGTCTGGGTAGAGCTGACCTCTCTCCGGTTCCCGGCTGGACCGTGTGGCCAGAAAATTCAAACAGGCACAAGAGCTTCTCCTTGGCCTAGGGCAGGAGGCCGCGTCCACAGGGCTCTGCTTTGGCCTGCATGTGGACGTCACGGGGAAGAAAGTCACCCTCCCTCTGAGGTGGCTGAGTGAGGGTCCACGTAAGCCTGGAATGGCCGCAGCCATCAGGCCACTCAGGTGACAGCTCACCTCTAGACGGGGCTGTGTGGGAAATCCAGGGACCCTGTGCCTGGGAGGTGACAGGGTGCTCCCTGAGGACCCTGTCAAGACCCAATTCGCCTGGTCCTGAACTTTTCCGATACAGGAGCCAATAAATCCCATTTTGCCCAAATCTGTGTGGGATGGGATTCAGTCCCTGGCAACAAAGGGCCCCTGCGAATGTCACTCCTGACCCTGGTATTGAGATGTTCCCTTGGGTGGGACAGAAGTGGGAGGAGACCCGGCTGCAGTGCCTCGGCCCATTTTGCCTGCAGCCTGGTGTTTCCTGGTGCTCATGAATTTCTGTGCACCCACGTGGGGAGAATCCATGAGACTCTGAGCATGGCCCACGTGAGTGTCCTCCATCTGTCATGTGAGTGCAGTGTGTGTGTCTGTGTGTGTCTGTGTGTGTGTGTCTGTGTGTGTCTGTGTGTGTCTGTATGTCTGTGTGTGTGTCTGTGTGTGTGTGTGTCTGTGTGTGTGTCTGTGTGTGTCGGGGTGCTGGAAGCCTGAGAGCCCTGAGCACAGTCTTCCCCTGGCACTTTGTGGTTAGAAAACGTGTGGAGACTCACTTTGGTCACTCAGTCCCGGGGCCTTGAAGCCAGTTTGGGGTGTGTGAGGGCTTCTGGGACCTGGAGCCTGGGGTTAGGGGGCTGCTGTTCTCTCTGGGTGGAGGAGCTGGCGAAAGATGGAAGCGAAGCTCTCGCAACTCCTTTGGCTTTGCCCTTCTGCAGGGGACACCTGCCTGGGCCCCCTGCTGTAGGTGGAAACCCTCTTTTCTGTCTTCTTCCCAGATGGTCCGGGGCAGAGGGCAGGTGGGCATGGGAGGGGAAGTGCAGCTGGATCTCTGGAGAAACTTCCTGGATGCCCACGTGACAAGCAGAGGGAGGAAATGGGCCCAGAGGCCAACACCACTCCTGACCCGGGGAGGCGGGCGGGCCTCCATCGAGGCCCCACCTCAGTGGGCACGGGAGAGCCACAGGTGTCTGGCGGGCATCTGGGAGGGGTGTCATGGTAACAGTAACTGTCCCTGTCATCTTCTGGGCCCGGCCCCACCCTGGTCCTGCTTCCCGCCTCAGGCTGAGCTCTGTAGGCCCCCCCTGGGCTCCCCTGACCTCCACCTTCTGGTTGGGAAGCCCCAGGACAGGCTAGAGAGAGGGAGGGGCCGAGGACAGGGTACTCATCCACCTGGTCCCCTCCCCCGAGGCCTGCACTCCTGGAGCTGCCCTTATCACCAAGTGGAGCGGCTTAAAACAAGGCCCACTCGCCCAGCCCAGGAGGCCAGCGGTCTCCAAAGTAGGGCCACACCCCTCCCGGGCTCTTCTAGCTTCTTGGCCCCAGCTTCCCTGGTTTGTGTCACATCACTGCCATCTCTGCCCCTGTCCTCACATGGCCTTCTGCTCTTCTTCTCTCAGTGACCTCTCTTCTCGTAGGGCCAGCAGGGGTAACTTCAGCCTGGTCCCCACCGAGGCTCTGGGGTGCCGGACGAGCAGATTGGAATTCGGTCAAGGACATTCGGAGTCTTACCTAGTTGCATCTGCAAAGAGCCTATTTCTGAATAAGGTCACCTTCTGGAGTTTTGGGTGGACCAATCTCTCTGAGATGTAGTTCAGCTCACTGAGAGGCCCTCTTGGGCTGGCCCTGTCCCTCGAGCACAGGTTGCTGCTGCCCTTGGGGCGTCCTCTGGCTCTGGGTTTGGGTTATGGCTCCCCTCTGCCATTACCACCCCCAGGGTCCTTCTTTCCCCTCCACCCCCACCTTCAATAGACTCTTCTGGAATTGTCCCAAAGGTGCCATGCCTTTTTGTTGGGACACCAGTGGCCACCACTGGGCACTCTCTCCATCTCCTTCCATCCACTGTCCTTGTCCCCATGTGCCATGAAGCAGCGGACCCTCTGTGAAGGCCAGTTACTGCCAAAGTCATGCCACTGAGCTCCAGGACTATGCCCCTGGCCAGAAGCAGTGTCCCCTCTTCAGGGTCCCAGGAAAAGCCAGCTCTGTCGTGGAGAGAGGGACTTTGGGGAGTGAAGTGGGGAGAGTGGGCTCCTAACTCCTGAGCCCCGGGTGACAGAACAGCCCCGCTCAGCTTCTGCTGTACTGGCTCTGGTGCCCAGCATCTCGGGATGGCCTGGCCTGAGGTACCTCTGAATTCAGGTGTGCCGGGGACGGCTCAGGTGGGCAGGGTCCTCCTCTCTCAGGTACGGGCTTCCCTGGGCTGGGTTGACCTCTGGCAGCTCGGCAGGGCAAGACCCAGATGGGGCCCAGCAGCTCCAGGCCCTGTCTGCTGGCTTCAGACCCCCAGCAGAGAGCGCTTCTCCCCCAGGGGGCCTGCCGAGTCTCAGGGAAGGTGTTGGTGAGCTGGGTCACAGGCCTGGCAGGTGACGCAGACGGACCTCTGGCAGAGCCAGGGGCTACTTCCAAGTCTGCTCTTGTGGCCTCAGGAACGGTGGCCCCCGCACCCCCTGGGTCCCCTCCAAGGCTGGGTGTAGTGAATGAGTAGACAGAAACCCCATCTGGCACCTTCTTGGACCTGGCCTGGGCCACCCTGTTCCCTCTGGGCCTCAACTTCTCCTCCTGTGAAGAGGGAGCCTGCCCCTTTTTCTGAGTGGCTGAGCTGGGGTTCAGGGTACCACATGCTGTCCGGGATTCTGGAGACATCAGGAAGAGTTGGGTTCCAGCCTCGAATCCCAGCCCTGGGGTCTCGGCCTCAGGGGGCTACAAAGCTGGGAGCTCTACCATTGGGCCTTGTCCTTGGATGCCTCCCTTTTGTCTCCTCTGTGGTCAGCCTGTGCCCAGCCAGACTGGAGGCCCTGGAGGCCTGAGCGCTGGCCTGACGCCGCCTGGCCCTCCCCACCCCCCACAGACACTTGTTTGAGAGCTGATGGGCAAGATGGAGAGCTGAGCCCGAGCCAGGCCGGGAGGGCTCTGCTCTCTCGGGTCCAGCACTGAGTAAACACGGCTGGTGCCAACACGGTGCCAGGCGGTACAGGACACAGAGGGGCCGAGGGGACGGGGCCGCTGGGAGTCAGAGCCACCTCTGTCTGGAGCGCTGGCCCTGCCCCCGACAGCTGCAGGGCCCGCTGAGGTCAGGCCTCCCCCACTCGGGAAGCCTTGAGACCAGAGGGTGGACGGTGCCGCACAGGGTTGGGGCGCAGACAGGCCACTTGGTCCTAGTTTAGTTGGTGGTTTATTGAGGAGCCGGGAGTGGCTGGACTTTGCCCCAGTCACTGTCTCCTCCCCGGTTGTGCTGGTCAAACCCCTCTCCCCTGGCTTTGGACACCCGGATTTTCCGTCACTTGTAGATTTAAAGGCACAGGCCGGTGTGTTCCAATGTCCTGGTCTCTGCTGGTCTCTTTCCTTCTGCTTCTGAGAAGCACCTCTGGTGTATTTGGGGACAGGAATGTGACAAGTCATGAGATGTGTGCATGGCCCTGGTCTTCCCTAGGTGGCCATCCTCCCCTCAGCCCCTGTTCCTGTGGAGGTGCCACTGCCCCTGCTGCTGGCCCACCCTTACCCCACGGACCCTTCCCTGGGTCAGGACCAGAATGACACCAGCCACATCCTGTGGCATTTGTGTGTCCCTGGTGGGCCCCATCCCACCCACCATCTCCTCCTGACTCCCTTCTCCACCTTCAACAAGTCAAGCATGTGAGCAAATGTCCACCAAGGGATGTGTGGCTTCCTGCCACCTCTTCCCTTGTCCATGGCAGTCTGGGGACTCCCAACACTCCTGACTGTCTGCCCTGCAGACGGGTCGGGACACCCCTGGGTGGGGCAGGGGGTGGAGCAAAGCCAGCTCAGCTGCCGCAGGCAGGTGGGGGGACACCTGGCCTGATGATTGAGTCTTCTTTGTCACGAGGTGAACTTGTCCCAGGTCGGGACAGGATGTATTCTCGTTTTGTGAATCTGACGGTGTAGGGAAGGGGGAGATGGGGAGGAGGAAGAACCTCAAGTATAGGCAGCCCCTTCCATGAGGTGGGAGCCCCTTGGCAAGGATGGCCGTGGCCGAGGCCAGTCTGCAGCCGGGGGCTCTGGTGGGCAGTGGGGTGTGTCGTGCCTGGTAGTGGCCCTCCTGCCGCCTCTGCTGTGTTCCTCAGGCTTGGCTCTCAAGGGCCCTGCCCCATGCAGATGTGGGGGCAGTATTTGGGGACCCGTGGGAACAGTGAGCGAGTCGGGGGATTCACCAAGTCCCATGTGGCTGGGTGGCCGTGCTCTCCAGATTGAGCTGGAGCCCTGGGTGAGGAGCCTGAAGATTGCCATCTACTCTTGGCCTCCAGTAATTAAAACAGAAGCTCCACCCTATACGCAGGGCGTGGGCCGTGTGCTGGGCACCATGCTGGCCCTTACACTTGTGTCCTCTCTGAACCTGGCCCATAGTCTCCCTTTCCACCACAAGCTGCAACCACGTTCCGTCTTAAAGAATGTTCTTTGTTCTTTGCAAGTCTTCTATTGCTCTCTCCCTGGGCCCCAGGGCTCCCCCAGCCCATATTAGAGGCTAAAATGAAGACGCCACTGTCCACAAAGGAGCCAGGGTTTATTGCAGAGACTTGATCTGACTGGACCCAGGGGTGGGGGGAGGAGAGGTGGCATAGGGCTGCCTTGCAGAGGTGTTCAGGTTGTGTGTGCACCAGGGCACCTCACCTCTGAAGGTGCTGACATAAACTACCCTCTGAGAACATGTGGGGAACAGGGGACTCGGGGCTATGGCGGATCCCGGAGCAGCAAGCTTCTTTTACCTGCCCCCACCCTACCTGGAGACACTCAGCGAGGCTCCTGCACGCTCCAGGCACGCCACAGTGTGTCAGCAGTGCCTGCCTGCCTGCCCACCGGGCTCAGGGGGCACCCTGAGCTCCCTCTGCCTGCCTGTTGCTCTGAGCTCAGCCCAGCCTCTCCTGGCTCCTGGAGCAGGCCCTGAACTGACACTAGGAGACAGTGGGGAACAAGGCAGTAAGTGAGGGGCAGAGGGAGCAGGGACCCACCATGTCCTTCCGTGGACAGGGACGGAAAGACATGTGACTGAAAATCCTGACCACGTGCCTTGGCCTCCAGTCTGGGCCTCTCTCATCCCAGGCCCGAGAGCAGTGGATGGAGCACTGACTGAGTCCAAGTTGAAGTCCTAACTGGCCGCAGGGTCCAACTGCCCAGGTTGCCCCTGGGGGTCAGATGGAGGGGAAGTGCCACGGGGGGGGGGGTGAGGTGCTTCGCCACCTTGGTCCTGTGAGGGCCACTCAGGACCACTAGGCCTCCTCCCTCACCGCCTCTGCGGACCACCTGGGCTCTGCAGGGAGGTGGGCATGGGGCAGAACCAGGGCCTGCCAGGGGCTGGGGGAGCCCAGGCGCAGCCAGCCTGCGGGAGCTGCTCACCCCTCCCTGCTCTTTCCAGGGCCTGGGACACGGAGCTATTTTTATTTGCGGCCCTGTCGGGGCGGCCTCTGTCTAGACAGCTGGAGTTACCGTCCGAGGCCATCCTGGAGGGCACGGGGAAAGAGTGCAGATTAAACAGCTCATAAAACTGAGCTGGCAACCGAAGCCGAGCCCCGAAGACCAAGGTAACCCCAGCTGGGTCCTTTGTCCTCAGTGACTTGAGAACAGCTGGACACGGGGATGTGTTCAGAGAAAACAGGGGTGTGCGGCCCTGGGGAGGCCAGCGGGGTCCTGTTGACCCCCCTCGGCAGAGCAGCCCTCGGGGTCTCCACAGAGCTTGCCCTCCTGGATGAGGCCGGCACTGGAAGGACGGAGGGGCCTCCTTGACGGGGTCAGGCCTTGCAGGACAGCTGGGTCCCGATCTGCAAAAATCTGGGCCTCCTGGGGCCTGGGGGCCAGGGCCAGCAGCCACATCACACCTCTCTGTGGTCCCACCCTCCTCAGGGTCACCTGATTCCCTGGGGGAGCTGGACCCTGGGGATCAACCAGCCAGGGTGGGGGCACACCCTGGTGGATGATTTCTCGCTTGCTTGTCTGTCCATCCATTTGTGGGTTCACCGCTCCCGGAGGCTGCCAGCACTCACCAAGCGCTCACAGGTGCCAGGCAGGGCTCCGGTCGTGCCTGGGAGGCTTCCAGATGGAGATGGGGAAAAGGGACCTGGAAACACAACGGACCGGGTGAAACGTGGAGACCCCTGCGACTTGCTCTGATCCCTCTCCCAGAGGACCACGGGCCCCCAGAGCACAGCGCACGAGGCCTCGCGGCCACCCAGTTCCTGTCTCGGTGGCCAGACTGCATCTCCAGCCCCAGGGACACCTCCCTTTCCCCAGGGCCGGCTGTTACCCACCCGAGCCTCCCCTTGGCCTCCACCTGCTCCACAGCCTCTCTCCCCTGACCCCACCTGGGACACTAGCCCAGACGTCCTGCTCCTGAAGCCCCGATGCCTGGTGCCCCAGATGAAGCCTGCAGGCCGTGGAGACTCAGGGTTTCCGCCGTCCCTGGAGGTACTGGCAGGCAGGGCGGGGAGGCTCCTGGCACGTGCCAGCCAGACGGACCTGCCGCTCTGGTCCATGTGACCCTGGATGATGCCCCCCAGCTGCCCGAGCCTCAGGGTCTTCTTCTGAAGGTGGGGATGACAGAGGACCCTCTGCCTGGGGACGAGCAGAGAAGGAAGGGACTAAACAAGGGTGAAAAGCGTGCTGCATAGTAGGGCGTCACCAGTCACCCTGGCGGTGACTCCTTAGCTCCGTGGTTACTGTTTTTCCCTCTTCTACCTCCAGAGCCACGCGCCCTGCCTGACCCAAATGATGAGCTGAAAATGGTCACCATGGCTGGCACAGAGCGCCGGGGGGCTTGCCGGGAAGTCCCCTCCCCATGGGCAAGCTCCAAACAGGAACGTCGGTCCCTGGAAAAGGGAAGGGATGGGAAGCAAAGCTGGAGCCAGGAGGAGCCTCTCTGAGCAGCCAGGTCACTCTGGTGTGGGGAATCAGGAGGACGCGTGGAGTGCTCGCTGCCCGGTCAGGGCTGCGCCAGCGGAAAGGGGCGGCCCTAGGACACGCTGGCTTGGGAGGGTGGCTTGGAGGTGCCAGAGCTGGGGCTATTTTCCTGGGACCACCTGAGTGGCGGGGTGGCAGTCGGGGCCCAGGTCTTCCACCTCAGTCCTTCTTGAATCCGTGGCCCGAGGAGGAGTCAGCCCCAGCGCCTGCTGGGCCTGGCCCAGGACATGACTGTGGGAGGATGTGGCCTCCACCTACTGTGGCTATTCTGGAGCCTGGGGGTGCTGGGCCCTGACCCCCACCCCATCGAGGAATGGTAGCATCACTGGGCTGGCCCACAGATCCCCACAGAGCCCCCAAATCCTGGTCACCAGGAGCAGAAGAGAGACCTTCCCAGGACAGTCCCAGCTGGCCCTGGAAGCGAGAGGCTTCTCCCAGAAAACCCAGACCCCAAAGCAGGGCTCAGGGAGCGGTGCAGGCAGCCCTTCTCCCTGGAGGCTGGGCCCGACACTCTGGGGAAACTGTCAGAACAGAGAAGGCCGCAGGGTTTGTAGCTGGAGCCCCCAGGGGGAATCCGGAGTAGACCTGGACCAGGGGCTGCTGGGAAGCAGAAAAATTCAGAATGAATGATGCCGCGTCCCTCAAGTCCTGGGTTTAGGGTTCCTTTGAGGGGCTGTTGGCGGGAGGCAGAAAGGCTGGGAGCATGGACTGCACGTTATTATCACTGTGTCCACAAACCCTTAAATGGTGCTAATATGCCAGATGCTGTCCCAGTAGCTCATGAAGAGCCACCCAGCAATGTCCTCATTTTACAGAGCAAGGTACACAGATGGGATCACTGTCCTCCCCTGGAAAACTCCTATTTACCCTTTCAAACCCTGCTAGGCCAGCCCTGCTCTGATTGCCCCGCAGAGCCCACGGCTCCTCCTTCTGCACCACTTGAGGGCCTGTCTCCTGTGTCTGTGGTCTGTGCCCCCTGCCCCCTGCCCCCTGCTCCAAACTCAGGTTTCTGGCCCAGGGGTCAAGTCCTGTTTGCCAAAGGAGACGAGGGGGCCTCTATTTCCAACCCCGGCAGGGTCTGCTGCACCTCACAGGTGGCCAGGATGGCTGTCTCCGCCTCCTGGCTTCGGCTGAGGGGTGACATCCTCAACCCATCCTTCCAGGAAGCCAGGGTCAGGGTGACTCCGAGGGACCCGAGCTTCCAGGGATGGTGCTGCTGTGGACCCAGGAGAAGCCACTGGTCCAGAGCAAAGGGCTCTCGGGGGGGGGGGGGGTTGGCACCCCAGGTGGCTCCCTTTGCTCTGTCCCATGGAGAAACGTCACAGGCCTGGGGCAAGCTGGGCTTTTCAGTGTTGGAGGACCGCCCCATCCCCCGGCCTCATCTGACCTGGCGGCATGAGGGCTTGGCTGGAAGCCGTCCCTGTTCCCAGTTGGTGGAGGAGGCGGTGACTGGTCCAGAGTCGTGGGCCTGGCCCTGGCTGGTGTTCTGAGTCCCCAGCTCAGACGCCCTCACCCCTGGCCTGGGCTGCTGCCCTTCCCCAGCAGCTTCACCCTGGCAGGGGTCCAGCCCAGGAACCCCCTGAACCCTGCCCTGGTCTCTGGGCTGCTAACTCTTGGGACAGGGCGAGCTGCGAGAACATGTTCCCTGATTCTCTGGAGGATTCAGAAGCCAAAGATCAGGAGCAGAGTCAGAGGCGGGGGCGGAGGTGGAGCTCCTCAGGGCGGCCCAAAATGCAGGCTGCAGGGGTCTCAGCCCCCAGGAGAGACAGGGTCCCTCCCGCCCCGTGGCACAGAGCTCCATCTTCCGAACCCGGGCATTCCGAGGGGCGGCTCTGGCAAGGGAGAGCCGAATCCTCGCCTGCAGGCAAAGGGTGTTTTCCTTCCCAGAGGACAAAGCGCTTCTGGCCCGTTCGGGAGGGGACTGAACACTCTGTCCACTCTGGCGGCGTTGGGATTCCTGGACAACGCGAGTGTGCTTTCTCACGCAACCAGACTGACCAGGGCCTCCGCCCGCAGCCCCGCCCTCCTCCCCAGCCCTTTTCCTGTCGCCTGCTCTGCTCCAAGCCAGGCTTTCTGAGGAGTCCATTCCAAGTGGCCTCAGGAAGTGATCATGGGCCCCGAGTCATGCGCCTCCCTGACAGGCCTCCCCTGCAGGGGGAGGGGCTGAGAAACACCCCTGGCTTCAAGTGAACCCCAACAATCACGTGCCGAGGAAACCAGACCACTTGAAGGGGTGGCCTGGCCTAGGACAGTGGCCTTCATCCTCAGGTTGGTCCCACCGCTGCCTCCTACTGGGACTTCCCTGGGTCACTGGGATTTCCAGAGTCTTGGGAGCCTTCTTGAAGTCCCTCGCTGCGCTGCGGTCCCTGCCTTGGTCCCCTGTGGCCTCCCATAGTCCATTTTAAGAGGTTGGCAACAGCAGGCCAAAGTGAAGTGAGTGGGCAGGGCCACCCTCGGTTACATCTTCCAGGCCGTGCCCAAGTGCTCGGGGGCAGCCCTGGCGAGTCATCCTGCTTTAGAGGTGCCTCATTGCCAAAGCTGTCCTGGGAGTTGGAGGGGTCCTGCCTCTCCCGGAGGGCCCAGCTGTGAACTCGGGATATTCCAGAGCATTCTTGGGGTGCCTGAAAGATATCTGAAGTCAGGGCTGCACTGACTCCGGGGAGATAAGAAGCTTTGGCAACTGGGCTCCCACGCTGGCTCCGCTTGAGGCTGAACAGGCTTGGGCTGAGAGGAGGGCCCACGAGGCTGCTGAGGAAAGGCCCGTGGGTCGGTGCCAGGGCCCTGAACCCGCTGGGGCAAGCTGAACCCCAGTGGGAGGCAGGCTGCTAACCAGTAAGCAAGTTGTAAAAACCCAGCTCAGACACAACATCTGGCAGCTGCTTCAAATACTTCTCTGTCTGCAGTCGGAGCTGCTCGCGGCCTCCTGTAAATCAAACCATGTGCACAGAGGACTCCTGGGCCGACCCAGGCACCCGGCCTGGCCTGGCCCCAGCTGCACCTATGGCCTCCGAGAGCTTTAAATAGCCTGGGACTCACATTCCACCTCCTTGTAGGATGAATTCAGAGCAGCTTGGCAGGAGAAGCTCAGGGGATCTGAGCTGCATCCCTCCATCCCAAAGCGAGATGCAGAGAGATGACCTTGAACCTCCATGGCGAACTTGGCAGTTAGACTAAGCCTCAGCCCAGCCTCTCTTTCCAGTGTCCCCCAAGGCAAGGTCACTCTTCCAAGACCCAGGGACACACTCAGCTGGTCAGAGTCCAAGATCTAGATCCAAAACAAGTTCCCGGCCTGAGCCCACCCCTGTGGCTTCCCAGCCAACCCTAAGCACCCAACTGGTAGAACACCCATGGATCCTCCAGCAGATCTGGTGTTGTGGGACTGGCTGCAAGAGCCAGGGCAGGAGGCGGGTGGCTAATAATGGTGGGAGTCTGGTCTGTTGGTGGTACCTCCCTCAGGCCTGGCGCTGGACGGTGACTTGCTCCTCTATTGACTGGTCAATCCTCATGGCCACCCCAGGAGTGCCTACTGTTAGGAGGTCTATTCTGAAGATATGGGTAGAGGGTTGTGTGTCCACGTCCTCACCCTGGAACCCGTGGATGTGACGCTACTCGGGTTGCCATTGAGTTGAGGACCCTGAAATGAGATCATCTTAAGTCCAGTGGCAAGTGTCCTTTCAGGGCAGTCACAGAGCAGAGGAGTGAAGGCCACGGGAGACGGACCCAGAGGTCAGGGGATGCCTGGAGCCAACAGAAACTGGAAGAGGGCAGGGAATTTCCTGTCCTAGAACCCCAGAGGGGACACGGCCCTGCCTGGGTCTTGATGTTGGACTTGTGACCTCCAGGGCTGTCAGAGAATACATACATGGCATCTGTTTGAAGCCACCCAGTTTGTGGTACGTTGGCACCGCAGCCTCAGGAACGCAGTGGAGAGTGGGGGTCAGAGAGGCCGACGGGGACACAGCTCTTCCCTACACTGCGCTCCGATGCCTGGTTACCAGATCGATCTGCCGGGAGGACAGAAGCTCCAGGGCCCATGAAATTTCCCCGAAACTGCCCTCTTAGGAAAGGGCTGATTTGGGACACCCTGGGGGTATCTGGGCATCCCAGGGGTTGGTTGGGCAGAGAATCCTTCCAGCTGTTTTATTGCTCTACAGCCAGGGTTCTAAGTGCTTTGCAGACGATGGCTCACAAATTCTCAAACAACCCTCGGTGGGAGTATTCTCCCAAGGGAAGCCATGTGTGTGTGTGTGTGGGGGGAGTCAGGAAATGTGCCCCTCAAATGCGAATCAGAAGTGAAAGAAGCCGGAAACAAAAGGCCACCTGATGCATGATTCACTGGAAGGAAATGTCCAGAACAGACAAATTCACTGAGGCAGAAAGTAGATTCCTGGTGGCCACAGGCTGCAGGAGGGGGAGTGGAGGGTGATCGCGTCAGGGGCAGGGGGGCCCCAAAATGTTTTGGACCTAGATGGGGTCGGCCACAAGCATGCACTTGAAGTGGTGAATTTAAAAAAAAAATTTTTTTTTTTTCTATTTTACTTTTGATACTGGGGATTGAACCCAGGGGTGCTTAACCACTGAGCCACATCCCCAGCCTTTTTTAATTATTTTGAGACAGGGTCTCTCTGAGTTGCTTAGGGCCTCTAAGTTGCCGAGGCTGGCTTTGAACTTGCGACCCTCCTGAGCCACTGGGATGATAGGGGTGGAGGGCCTTAGTACTCCACCTGAAATGGTGAATTTGATGTCGTATGAATTTCACCCTCATTACAAATAAAAGGGCAGCTCCTGGGTGGACAGTCCTGCTGGACAGTCCAGCTTGGGCAGCAGCTTGGAGACCTTATGGTGTCTCCCTGCTCCTGGTTTGGCTTCCTTGGACCATTTCCTGTGGTAAACGGGCTCAGGGGAAGAGTTCCCCACAGAGGCTTCTCTGCCTCTACCTCCCTGTGGACCTGTTGGTTCCTTTGAGAGCCAGCACTTCACGCGTGGGTTTGCTGTGTCCACCCCCCACTCCTGGGGCTCTGCTGCATGTTCTGAGACTCAGGGCAGACGGAGCCGGGTAAGCCACACTCACCAACCGGTGGAATCTCTTGCACCAGAGGTTGCCAAGGTCTCTGGGCCTCAGTCCCATGAAAGGACTGTGGAGGAATCTCAGAGGGATCTTTAGGGGCTCAACTCTGCAAATAATTCCAGGCCCCCGGGGACCCCTGGGGCGATGTCATCAGAATCGCCAGGCCTGGGAAGATGTAGCTCTCTAGGCCCCACCTATGGTGTATCAAGCTTCCTGGGATTTTGCTTGGTCCCCAAATTTCCCTGTTGGTTCCAGTATGAGGGGGTGTCCGGGAACTTCAGCCTGAAACCTCAAATAGGTCCCGTTACTCGTGTGTGTGTACAAAACACATGTTAAGCAATAGCCGTGGGCCCACCCCCAAAAGCTGTCAGGGGAAGGGAGGAGGCTGAAGGAGGCCGTTCTGTCTCCAGAGTAGATCCAGAAAAATCTGTAGGCAGGGCCAGGTGGAAAGACAGACCTAGGGCCCAGTCAGAGAGGTCACCTGCTCCCCAGCCAGCTGCCCTCAGCCTGGACTTGTCCACTGAGAAGATCCTATTGGTCCATTCATCCCTGGCCCAGGAAGAAGGCTTCCCCAGAAGAGCCAGTTTTCCTCTTTTCTTTAAATCAATCAATAAAAAAATAAAAAAAATAATCTGAGCTCAAAAGAGGACACCGAGGTCCAAGTGCACCAGGGGATGATCAGACCGAGTCCCGCCTGCCAGCATCCAAGTCCTGAGAAACCCTAGGAGGGCCATGAGCGGCTTCCTCGGGCTTGCTGGGCCAGGACATCAGTTGTTGCTCCTCCAGCCCCATCCAAGCTCATGATTTCCTCCCCGGTTGCCATGGCCCCGGACAGAAAACACAGCAAACTCCTGGCCCTGGACAGCTCATTTATTTCAAATATTCTTTGCAGCTGGAATCCAACCATGTTTGGGTGTCTGGACTGCAGCATGAACTAATTGCTCAGCCTTCGGCCCCCTCCCCAGCTCCCCCGGAATAGTTTATGGTTCAGTAAAGCCCACATTCCTCATCCCGCCGAGGAGCAGGAGGGAGGCTGTGGGCAGATGATAGAGACAGGAGTCTTCCCATCTATGGCCAAGCCCTGAGAGTCAGCTACCTGCGCGAAGGCAGGGGATTAATTGCAACCACATGGGCCAAGTCTGCACAGATGGTTTTATTAATACCGCTCCCTTCAGTGCAAAACCCTGCTCCCCAGAAGTCTCCCGGCAGCACAAACGCCCTTATTCCCCTTGTGCTCCCCCACCCCCATGCCTGACCCCACTCCTCCCCTGCCACCCCCCTTCAAAGGAAGCTGGAGTTTCTAACTGCAACCCAGACATGAACCCCGACCTAAAAATAGTTCGAAACCACCTCTGTCCTCCACCCGTAGCTGGGGCAGGCTTGTGGGGTTCCTTTCCCCAATATTCACCTTGATCTTTGGAGTCTTTACCTAGGAAAAAGAAGATTTATCAGGAATTTGGCTCTGGAGTGCTTTAACGTCCATCCTCGACGTCCAAGTCCCCATGCAGGAAGTGACATTTTTCCAGGAGGGCATGAGTCTGTAAAACACTCGCTGGTGAATTTTCCAGCATCCTGGGTCCTGTTCCCGGAGCTTCACATCCCCCTTGTTAGTAGCCTAGGAGACTGGGACACTGACAACTGCCGTTTTTGTAGGAGGCTTGTCCAAGGCCACATAGCCAATGTTTGAACCCAGGTCTGACTCAGGAGTTCATGTGCTTGTCCCCGAGCCAAGCCACCACCACACTGAAATAATTTCCCTTTACCCAGCAACTTTGCAAGAGAAAGAGCTGACACAGACACAAAGTGTGGTGTCCCGACAGTCTCGGGCAAGGTCACCTGGGGAGTCTGGGGACAGCACAGATTCCTGGGCCTGGCCCCAGAAACACTGAATCTGCCTGTCTCTGGAGGTGCCCTGGAATCTGCATTCTGACACTTCCAGGCGGGCCTGAGGCCAGGGTTCTGAGGAAGGAGGCGCTCAGAGGAAGGGACAGAGCACTTTGGTCCTAGGGACCTTGGGCCCTAAGCCAGCCACTTCTCACAGCAGGTGACAAGTCCCTGCAGTGAGCTGAGCGGTTCTTGCTGTTTTTTTTTTTTTTTTTGAAACAGTGACAACTTGAGATCACATCTAGTACATTTTTTGACTGTTCACATATCACTCATTGAGCCTCCAAATAAGCAGAATTTCCCTGACCTTCTAGAGAGGGCCCTGTCCACAGCATTGGCAGGATGGCTTCGACAGGCAAGAGCTTGGCGACGGAGCGTCACTACACCTGACCCTGGGGACAGAGACAAGTAAGGATCCGCAGTTCTGCAGAGTGCTGAGCCTGGGTCTGAGGATGCCACATGGGGTCCCCCTGGGGTCGTGACAGCTTCCCCCACGGGTGAGCTTCATAACTGGGCAGCTGAGCCAGAGGCGCTCGCAGTGCACGGAATCGCTTAGTAGGCTCAGCAAGTGCCCTTCTGTTTGGCTGCCGGGCTACACACTCCTGAAGGGGGCTGGTGTGTCCTAGGGCTGTCGTCCAGGGGTCTCCTCCACCTGAGGCTCTGGCTGGCATCCTTCCTTTGCAGGTGGCAGGGAAAACCATGGGCGGCAGCATTGCGGGCTGGACTCGGTGGGCTCTGCCATGCCTCTTTCCCCTCCCGCAAAGCACAAAGGAGGGATTCAGAAGTGGTTTCTTATTTTAACAAACTTTCTTTTATTAGGTTACTGGCTATTATGAACCATCATAAAATAGAACGGGAGTTTCAAAACTATACACGCCACAAGGCTCTGGGCTGAGAGGAGAGGAAAGGTGGGTGGAGGGTCCCAGGGAGTGAAGGCCAGGGAGGCAGAGAGCCCGCATCCATCAGCACCCCTGGGGGACGCTGGTCAAGGAGGCAAGCTTGAGCCTCTGTCATGTGCAGGAGTGTCAGAATGTGACCCACCCTGAAACAGAGAAATCTTCAAGAGCCTGACAGCTAAGGTCCCCTTCCCCAAAAGGAAAAAAAAAAAGCAACAACCCTCAAATATTCAGGGGGTAATTTACATTCCTCACCCAGTCTTGGCACCAGTTTTGTGCTTTAAAAAATAAACTCCACTGGAAGAATTTTATTTTTTAAAAAAGGTACCCTACAGCAGCTGCTTAAAACATAATTCTTATGGACAAATATATATGCATATATATTAAACATTTCAAACAAATAAAGTCATCTATTGTACCTGTGCAGAAAGAACAGAGCTCAGACTCCAAGGGAGTTGGTTTCAAGACCAAAGGTGCTGGGACACCACATGGGGACAGGCATCCTGCTGTGGCCACCCTTCACCACCCCCGGGGTCGTGGGGGAGAGGAGCTCCTGCAGGTGGGCCTGGAGCCCAGGCAGGTGCTGAGCAGAGGTTCACACTGGCTTCGTGAGGTGGACCCCACGCCTGCTCTCCCCGCCCTGCCCTGCCTGGGGCTTCTATGGGGTGGGGACCCTCTCACTCCTTTTCTTTATTCTGGGGTCCTCTGGGACACAGAGCTTCTGAGGATGCACTTGGGAAATCTCATCTAGAAAAGCAGATGCAAAATCAAACCCACACCAAAAAAAAAAAAAAAAAATCATAGACAACCAAAGAAATCCAAACATGTGCAATGATATATGAACTCAAGAGGTAAGTGGCGACCTGGGGACCTGGGGACCGGCACAGCCCTCTCAGGTGGGCTCCCTAAGACACTCCTATTGCACGTGAGGCTAAGTCTCTCTGAGGGGCCTGCTTGAGGACTCAGCGTGGAGCCTCAGGAAACGAGGGAACTACCACAGAGACACTCTGTGCCTGAGCACCAGGGCACCACGCCACGGGCACGGCCCAGGAAGGACAGGTGCGACACACACATCCTGGGGAGGCAGCAGCTGGGGGGAAAGGCAACAGAACGCGCCAGAGAGGTGACCGAAACGAGGTTTCCTTTCCAAATGGAATAAATAAACGACCTTTGTTATGGTTAAAAGAATAAATACAGGGGACGGGCGCTGACAGGGATGGGTGCTGGGTGCTTATCTGCCTGTGGCAGGTCTGACCTCGGCTTCTGCCTCGGGTCCATGGCGTCTGGTATCCTGAGCTGCAGGTGCACAGCCTGGCCCTGCCCTTCCCACTCCTGCTATCTGCCCTTGAGCCCTGGCACTTCCTGCCAGCTCCACCACCTGGGACCCCCCC